CAAACCCGGCCTTTTTCTTTTTGTCTGGCCATAATTTATCGAATTTTTGTTTGTTTTTTGTTTTCATTGGGGGGTTTTCTACTCAACGCCTTTTTTATGTCCAATTACGAACACATTTCGATATGGATTTTACAGAAAAGTAATTTTAAAATTAATGGCACAAAGAAAAAAAGTAAATGTTCAGTTTCCACAGACTCTCAAGCTATGGAAATGACAAAAAATTGTGGCGACTCTTTTTTCGTTACTTTTATCTCTGAAACTAGGCGACCCCCACCTCCTTTAATCGCAAATATCTCAACTTCTATTCAAGATAGATGGGTATATTTTTTTTGGCCAAATGCGAGACAAATTATGAACACGCTTTAAGATGATAGTAATAACTCGACATGCCCAAAAATTGACCAGTGCCTGATTCCACCGCGTTGTGACTCAAATGTCTTTGACTTGAGAGCCCCTGTTTCTCGTTGCTCAGCTTTATGGCATGTGTGTGTGTGTGTGTCTGGGGAGGGGGGGGGGGAGGACGGCGAGAGATGTTGGGAAGACAGTGCAGTCCCATGACCATGGTATAGCGACGTATCTCACAAAGTCGTGTCTTTTTGTGTGTTTTATTGGTTTGTTATATGTACTAGTTTTGCCCATTACTCTTCATGTGACAAAGGCAGGGTGGGTGGTTGGCGGGTGCTCTGCTGTTGTGTGGTTTGCTCCTTTTTTCTTATCAAACGTCTGTCTGTGGGTGGTTGGCGTGTGCTCTGGTGTGGTTTGTTTCTTCTTTCCTGTCAAACATCTATCGTCTTTATCTCTCCTTCTTTTTTTATGTTTGTTACTCTCTTGTAACACATCTAATCTTCTGGCGCTCATATGACCTTATGCAGTTGCGAGCGCCGTAAAACATCTACTAAAACAATATCTCCCGTCCTTCTTTTTTGTGTTTGTTAGTCTCTTGTGACTCCTCTAATCTTCAGCACTAATATGACCTTATTGTGTCGGAAGTGCCGTAAAACTCTTACTAAAACTTTAAAAAACGCCTGTCTTCCTTATCTCTCCTCCACCTTTTTGTTGTATGTTACTCTCAGACACACCTCCAATCTGAGGAACTTGTTCAATCTCTTTGTGTTGCAAGGGTTGTGGAAAACTTTTACCAAAACTAATTCCTACAAAACATCTATCGTCCTTGTCTCTCCCCCTTCTTTTTTGTGTTTTTTACTCTCTTGTGACACTTCTATTCTTCGGCACTTAAATGACCTTATTGTGTTGCAAGTGCCGTAAAACTCTTACCAAAACTAAAACGCAACTGTCGTCTTGCCCGTATCCTCCCTGTGTCAAAGGCAGGATCTACGTCACAAGTGGTGGATTTCAAACTGTTCAAACGGTACGTAAGTGACTGATCTCAGTGTCAGTAGCAAAGGCACGAATCGGCATTTCCACACAACTATATTATTTAGAGGCATTTCCACACAACCATATTATTTAGAAGCATTTATAACTTAAGTCGAGCTTGGCCTAAAATTTGGTGTGTGTGTGGGGGGGGGGGGGGAGTTGTTGTTTTTGTTTGGGGGGGGGGGGTTGTTTTGTTTTTTCCTCAATACCATGAAATCAGGAAATATGCTGTTACGTCCTTCTGTCTTTAGAGGGCAGAGTGGTGTCTCCTCTCCCCCCCCCCCCCCTTTCCCCTGAACTGAATCGGAAGTGAGGGGAGGTATGTGAGAGATGTGTGACAGCTAAGGAAGAGAGAGAGAGAGAGAGAGAGAGAGAGAGAGAAGTGATGGGAAGTAGTACTGTAAAACACATAGTATTGCAAACTAATTGACCGAACCGCCCCGCCTCATGTTTCACCAGTGGTTGGTTGGCGGGTGCTCTGGTGTGGTTTGCTCCTTCTTTTCTATCAAACACCTGTCGTCCTTTTCTCTCCTCCTTCTTTTTTGTGTTTGTTAGTCTCTTGTAACACCTCTAATCTTCGGCACTTTATGACCTTATTGTGTTGCAAGTGCCGTAAAACACTTACTAAAACAAAAAACTAAGTGACTAAACCGCCCCGCCTCATGTTTCACCAGGTGCAGGCTGTGCGAGAAGTGGTCCCCGGCAAGAGCAACAATGAGGTGGTCCTTGTGCTACAGTACTACGACTACAACGTAGAGAGGGCCATACAGGCTTACTTAGAAGGTCAGTCCGTTGGTCAGTCTGGCCTCTGTGTCTTCATGGGTGGTCGGTGGGTGCTCTGGTGTGGTTTTCTCCTTCTTTCCTAAAAAAAATCTATCGTGTCTATCTCCCCTCCTTTTTTTTTGTTGGTGGTTGGCGAGTGCTCTTGTGTGGTTTGCTTCTTTTTTTCCTATCAAACATCTATCGTCCTTATCTCCCCTTCTTCTTTTGTATGTACGTTGCTCTCTTGTAACACCTCTAATCTTCGGCACTTATATGACCTTATTGTGTTGCAAGTGCCGTAAAACTCTTACTAAAACTAAACTAAACTCTCTGTCCTCTGAGTCTTCAGTCTGTCCTCTGTGAAACACACTCTTTGTGCCTTTGAAATAGACGCTTCTTGTTGTCCTTATGGTCACTATTATGGGTTGTCTGCTCCTTGTTTATTGGCCAGGTTTTCTATCCTTCTTCTTGTCTGCTTTCTGGTGAATTGGTTGTTTGGAGGGTGTCACTGGTTGGTCCCACATGTGTATTTTCCCCTCTGTTGTTTCTGTCCATCTGACTTGCTTTTTCCGTGCTTTAAGTAACTTTAACACACGCACACATACACACACACACACACACACACACACACACACACACACACACACACACACACACACACACACACTCCTCACTCCACCACCACAACCAACACAGAGAGAGAGAGAGAGAGAGAGAAAGTTGATGTGTTCAGTCTTGTTTTTTCATTTCTGACATGTTGTTTTTTTCTTCTTTTCCTCTGCCCCCTTTGTCTATTTCCATCCTCATTTTCTTCTTCTGTCTCTTCAGATGGTGCCAAAGAAGCCCTAAAGGAGTGGAATTTCACAGGGTCAAAGGTAAGCTTTTGATTTGCTGTATTTTTTGGTTTGTTTGTTTCTTTGTAAAGAGCAGCTTCCTGTAGATCTAGTTGCCACATCTCTAAACTTCGACACTTATATGACCTTATTGTGTTGAAAGTGCCGTAAAACTCTCACTAATGTGGGTGGTTGGCGGGTGCTCTGGTGTAGTTTGCTTCTTCTTTCCTATCAAACATCTATCGTCCTTATCTCCCCTTCTTCTTTTTTATGTTTGTTACTCTCTTGCAACGCCTCTAATCCTATGGCACTCATATGACCTTATGCAGTTGCGAGCACCGTAAAACCTCTACTAAAAAAAAAGAAGAAGAAAATAACACCTCTAATCTTCGGCACTTCTATGACGTTATTGTATTGCAAGTGCCATAAAAGTTTTACGAAAAAATACAAAAATTCTTACTAAAACATTGTATTTCCCATATGCGTGTAGAACCAATATAAAACAGAACAAATCTCTACTTCTACAGCAGCCCAACAAGAAGAGAAAGAACAAGAAGAAGGGAGCGGGAGACAAGACAGGGGACAAGCCAGACGTCAGTCTGACCTCGTCTACGGCAGCCAATGGGAAAGGAGAACCAGTGGTCAACGGCAAGATTGGTGTGCCCAATGGAGAAATCGCGCACGGTCAGTCCACTGGCTGGCTCGTAAACACTGCCAGCAAATTTGTGCTGGGTTTTTTTTTCCCCCTTCTCTTGGCTTTGTCTACTGATTGTGTGTTATTTTGATAATAATAAGGATAGTGGGAATTTATGAAGTGCTTAAGTGGGTGGTTGGCGGGAGCTCTAGTGTGGTTTACTCCTTCTTCCCTATCAAAATCTATCGTCTCTTTCTCCCCTCCTTGTTTTTTGTGTTTGTTACTCGCTTGTGACACCTCTAATCTTCGGCACTTATATGACCTCATTGTGTTGCAAGTGCCGTAAAACACTAAATGAGATGTTGTCTCCCTTCTATGCCTGAGTTTGCCCTAACCCGCCTCTTATATCATCTAAATTCTGTGGATGGAGGTGTGTGGCTGACACAATTACTTCTTAGAGTTCAGGGCAGTTGGTTGTCTGCGGGACAGATCTGTTCTGTACACACATCGGTAATACAATGCAAAGGGCTTCTGGTCCTATGCTCAAGGTGGTTGGTTGGTGCTGCGCTGGAGTCTTCTGTCCAATGTTGCTGCTGTATTATTTGTGGACATGGGCGGTTGGCAGGTGCTTTGATGTGGTTTGCTCCTTTTTCTCTGATCAAACATCTATTGTCCTCATCTCTCCTTCTTTTATTTGTTTGTTATTCTTTTGTTACAACTCTAGTCTTAGCCACTTATATGACCTAATTATGTTGCTAGTGCCGTAAAACGTTCTGTGAATGGTTGGCAGGTGCTGTGGGGTGGTTTGCTCCTTCTTTCCTATCAAACATCATCCTTATCTCTCCTCCATTTTTTGTTTTTGATCCTCTCTTGTAACACCTCATATCTTCGGCACTTATATGACCTTATTGTGTTGCAAGTGCTGTAAAACTCTCACCTAAAACCCCCCCGGGTGGTGCTACTAACGTCTTTAAACCATCCTCAAAGGAGAGGATATTGTAATTGTGAATGGGCTTATTCATCAATGTCATTCTTATAACTGTGCCTGAACTGCAACAGGGAGCTGCTTTTTCTTTCCTAATCCTTACTATCGTCATTTTTCCTCAACTTCTCTTGTATGTTTGTCACACTCTTGTGACCTGCTATTTCTGGGATGCCTTGATAGTCGAAGTAGACTTTCTGCTGTTGAAGCTAGAGAGGTGAACAGAGTAAGTCTGATTCCCTGTAAGGACTTCTCTGTTAACCTCCACCCCTTGGGGCTCATATGACCTTATGCAGTTGCGAGCACCGAAAAACCTCTAGTATAAATAAAATTATTTCCCCTCCTTCTATTTTGTGTTTGTTACTCTCTTGTAACAAACACCTCTAATCTTCGGCACCTATATGACCTTATTGTGTTGCAAGTGCCGTAAAACTCTTACTGAAACAATAAAACCAACTCTTACCTAAAACCAAATTCTTTGAAAACGTGCAGGTCCCGAACAATCTGAGTCAGAGTCCCCACTAGACTCGCCCACCTCCCCGCCCCCCGACTCCGTCAAGGACAGCACAGCAAGCAAGAGAGACAGCGGCAGCAACAGGGGCCCCACGCCCGCCTCATCATCTGCATCAACAGCAACAGCAACAGCAACAACGACAGCATCAGTACCACAACGACAACCCCACGGGAAGGGCAGAGGACATCATGGTATGTTGGTCGTTTTCTTATTGTAATCTTTTACTGTTTGTTGCTTATGGTCGCTTTTAAGAACAAGCGGGCTATCCCAGATTTTGGGGGTTTCCAGAAATCTGGACCTACACCAAAAGTGGGCATTGCCCTACCTATAGAAGAAGTTTGGTTTCATCGGTATGTATATTTGTTTGGTTATAGAGAAAACTCTCCTTGCCTTTTAATGAAACTGAACAAGGGGCAAAAATTTTACTATCGATTTTCTCAAAAAAAGCGTTTTTCGGGATAGCCCCCTTGTGCTTAAAAGCGACCTTTTACTCTTTAACTGCTCTAAGCCCAGAAAGCCAGATTTTCCAATAGAGAAAAAAATATCATGAATTACTTCAACAACTGTACATAACCTTATAGGTTTTGGGGGTTTTTTGTTTTGTTTTTTTTCTTTCAACATTTAGAATAAGTGAGGCAGCGTGGTGGAATCAGGCTCTCGTCAAAATAATCAAAGTGAAGAAACTTGCATTTTTCCGAAGGTTTGAGAATTATAATAATTTTTTTTTGGGGGGGCTCAACACCTTTCATGCCCATTAAAGAACTCATTTCTGAGTGGTTTTTCGGAAAAACATTGATTAAAGGCACAAAAAATGTAAAATTTCAGTTACCACGGACTCTTAAGCTAGAGAAATAACTAATCTTTTGCAGCCATTTTCTTACTAATTTAACCTCTGAAAACAGGTGACCCCCACCTCCTTCATTTGCAAATATCCCGACTTGTATACAAGATAAATAGCTATTTTTTTCATTCAAATAAAGACAAGTGAACAAGCTTTAAAATTATACCAATAACTCTACATGCCCCAAAATTGACGAGAGCCTGATTCCACCACACTGCCTCACATATTAATTTTGACAAAACAATTCTCAAGCACTTACAAACGGTTCCATAGATAGTGAAACTCCAAGAGAGATAAAAAATTCAAAATGCTGGGGGACGATATACTGATATACCTTGTTTTCTCCTTTGACTTTTTGTTGTGAATAAATGGAGGTATTCTGTAGTAAACCTTGATAATGAGTGTTTGGAAAGTGCTGAGTCTGATCTGCCCTTTTCCGTCTTTTAAACGTAGCATTTACTGTTATCCCAACAAGCACTGTTATCCCTACGTGTCTCGGGCGTAATGTGGCCATTGCTGTGTGGCCTTCATGTAAACTACAATCCAGCAACGTTAATTGAAAAGAGACTAAGTGGGTGGTTGGCGGGTGCTCTGGTGTGGTTTACTCCTTCTTTCCTATCAAACATCTATCGTCCTTTTCTCCCCTCCTTCTTTTTTGTGTTCGTTACTCGCTTGTGACACCTCTAATCTTCGGCACTCATATGACCTTATTGTGTTGCAAGTGCCATAAAAATCTTACTAAAACTAAAAGAGACTAACCCTCTAACTCATTCGTCCTCCCCCCCCCCCCCCCTCTCCATTCTCCGTGTTTCCTTCCATAGACTCCCACCACTCCCATCACCACCACGGCAACGCTCGGGAGAGAACGACCAGTGAGATGAGCACGGGGTCAGGCTACGGGGATGGACACAGGCGGCCATTCCAAGGTGACCACCGTACTCCTTATGTCACTGCTCTGCCGTGTCAAGCCAGGGCGACGTATCTGCACTTTTTATGATTTTGAGTAACGTCTCGCTGACATTGGAAATATGGGCATGGCCCTTCAGTTACGTCTGTTTGCCATAGTGAAATATCCTATTTGTAGTGCAGATACGTCTTCCTGCCTTTGACACAAGATGCAGAATGAGTATAGGCGTCCATCTAAATGAAGATGCAGAAATTAATCATTTTTGCAGATACGTCGGTCTGCCTTGGCACGGCAGTGCTGTAGTGTCTTGGGAGTCCTTCTCCTCTGACTTTGATTGCAGTTCATTTTTTTCTTATTGTTCTGTTTTTCAAACTTTGTTTTCTCAAACATGTTGTTTACGCTACCCTTCAGTCCTGTGAGTGGTTGGAGGGTGGTATTGTTAAGTTCTACGTCTTAATTTTCCCTCTCTTGTATCTGCCTGTCTTATGTCGCTCTTTCCAAACTCGAAATTGCCTTGACCCCAAATTACAGACCCTTCAACTGTGGGTGGTTGGCGGGTGCTCTGGTGTGGTTTGCTTCTTCTTTCCTATCAAACATCTATCGTCCTTATCTCCCCTCCTTCTTTTTTATGTTTGTTACTCTCTTGTAACACCTCTAATCTTCTGGCGCTCATATGACCTTATAGCAGTTGCGAGTGCCGTAAAACCTCTACTAAAACTAAAAAGACCCTTCAACTGCATGACCTAAGATGTATCTTTTCTCTCCTTTTATCCAACTGGTTACCACCAGTGGTTGGAATTTGTTTCTGGTTGGCGGTTGTACTTCTTTCCTGTCCTTCTTATGTTTTTATCTGGGGGGGGTTTTCTCTTTCCCATCACTCTGCGGCTGTTAATGTTGTTGTGCTTCTCTTCAGTGAAGCTGTTTCTAAAAGATGTGGTGGTTTGGCACACTGTTATTAGTTCAGTGTCAAAGACATTTAGATTGTGATATGTGCAGTGTGGATTGAAGTGTTTTAGTTTCTGAACCTAGATTGCTGAGAGGTCATTCTTTCTCACCCTGGATCAGCTAATGATTGACTGGAAGGGTTTTGATTTTCTCCCAGATGTTATTTTTGTACTCGCATTGCTATCACTTATTTTTGTTTTCTGCCTGAAAATTCACCCCCCCACCCCCCGAAAAAGTAAACATATAAATGAATTAATTTTTTTTCTGCCTATTATCAACTTCATTGATGGGAAATTCGTTTCCTTCATTTAGTTGAGTAAAAGATGCTTTAGTATCAGGGCACAAAGCAAGAGGAAGACCAAGAAAGATCTGGATCCTGGGTGTGAAGGATATCCTGAGTACATACAATATCCCACCCAGCCAGGCCATCAAACTTGCTAGAGACAGGAAGCTCTTTCTCCCCTCGACGCCCTAGTGGTACAAGAGGACGCATAAAGTAAAGTTAAAGATACTTTGTTTCCAGCTGTCTATCAGATTTGTGACCATACAAATTCTGCTGTCCTGGCATGTTGCCTAAATAAACAAATGCACATCTGGCCAAGCTAACCAAATGTCGATTTGACTGCAGGGCCTGGTAAGCCTGTTGCTGCAGGGGTCTGGTGACTCACAGGAAATCATTCCCTTTGGTTTTCTGTCTGCTTTCCTTGAGACAGCAAGTCTATTTATACACAGGGGGTCTGTATTGAATTTATCTGTATCACATATGACTCGGCATATTTTAAAAAAATTTGCTCTGGACTTTTTAAAATTGTTCACACAAATATAAAAATTTATAATTTTTTTGACAACCTTCCCCCCCCCCCCCCCCCCTCAAAATGTTGATGGCCATACACTTCAGTTATTTGGGTGGGTGGAAGGTGGCTCTGGTAGGTTCCTTCTTCTGTATTTTCCCAGAATTATTTCTGTCTGTGTTTCTTGCTCGTTCCTAACATTAGATAAAAGATATCTTGTTGATTCGCTTCTCTTTACTCCAAACAAACAAATCCCTCAACCACATGTTCCCGAATGAATCAGTTTGCTAATTCAGTTCTGAATGTGGGTGGTTGACGGGGGCTCTGGTCTGGTTTGCTCCTTCTTTCCTATGAAACATCTATCGTCTTTATCTCCCCTTCTTCTTTTTTATGTTTGTTACTTTCTTGTAACACCTCAAATCTTCTGGCACTCAATAAAACCTTGACTAAAACTAAAAAAGATAAAAGATATCTTGTTGATTTGCTTCTCTTTACTCCAAACAAACAAATCCCTCAACCACCTATTCCTGAATGAATCTGTTTGCTAATTCAGCTCTTGAGTTCTTTACGTGAGTGGTCCTGCGGGTCTTGATGGCTGTCTTGTGGTGAGTGTATCGTCTGTGCACGATTGTGGCCACATCTGTGCCGCGATCAATACGTTAAGCTTGCAGGACAACTCAGGGACACGAGCAAACAGGGTTGGGAAGTGCTGAGTAAAGAGAAGAATGAGGTATATGTGTGGGACAATTCTTTCTTTCCTTGATTTTGGAATGGCTACAGGGAGATAGTCTGTGGATGGTTGGTGGGTGCTCTGGTGTGGTTTGCTCCTTCTTTCCCCATCAAACATCTATCGTCTTTATCTGCCCCCCTTCTTTTTTATATTTGTTACTCTCTTGTAACACCTCTAATCTTCTGGCGCTCATATGACCTTATGCTGTTGCAAGCGTCGTAAAACCTCTACTAAAACAAACAAACAGGGAGATAGTCTGTGGGTGGTTGGCGGGTGCTCTGGTGTGGTTTTCTCCTTCTTTCCTATCAAACGTCTATCGTCGTTGTCTCTCCTCTCTGTTCATGTGTGTTTGTTACTCTCATGTAACGCCTCAAATCTTCAGCTATTATGTGACCTAATTGTGTTGCAAGTGTTGTAAAACACTTACTAAAAAACAACAACCTGGGGTTGGGTAGGGGGTGCGCTCATTGAGTCTGCTCTTTGTGTGTCTATAATAAATTGTCATTTGTTATGTTTTGCACCCCCATCGACTCAGTTAAGATTATCTTTGGTGGCGAGCTGCTCTGGCACTGCCTGTCAGCCGACCTGGGCTGAGTGGGGTATAACTAGGCCAGGGCAAAAAGACTCGAGGCCTCGATTCCTAAACTGAAAAAGAATCGAGGAATCAAGTCGATTGTCGAGTCTGGAAGCTGCTTCAAGTGGACCTGGCTGTTTGGGGGCCAAGACTTGAAGACTGCTGGAAAGAAATAGTTTTCAGACTTGAGTCTCGAGTTACACAAACAGACATGACTGGCTAAGCCTGCACACGTGCCAAGATCAGTTGTCTTTCACCCATTTGTGTGTGTGTCTGTGTTGTAGGTAGGCTTGTAGGGTTTCCTCTCGGAGTCTAGGCTAGGAACCAGGGAAAAAATAGGGAGGCGAAAGTCATTGACCGTGGACTCGAAGCTTCGAGTCTGTGAATGTGATAAATTCTTCGAGTCCTAATTTGGGCTCGAAAGAATCTATTCCCAGAGTCGATCTTGCCCTGGCCTAGGTAAACGGCGTCGGTGGCCTAGTGGTTAGGCTCTCGGACTCGCAACCGTAAGGTCGTGGGTTCGAATCCCGTCAGGGACCCGACGTTGTGTCCTTGGGAAAGGCACTTTACACGAATTTTCCTCACTTCACCCAGGTGGGAATGGGTACCCGGCTGTAGACAGCGAAATATCTTGTCAGTTTGTTAGTGTTTGAGCGCTTAATCGGCAGCTTGCACTGTATGCCTCCCGGGAAGCTGAGAATGTTTGGGAGTGTTCTATGGTCTGCTGGGGTAATAATATAGTGTAAAGCACATAGAGCATGCTGTTGAGCGGGGATATGCGCTATAAAAATGCTATCTATTATTATTATTATTATTAAACACCCCTTCAGACAAATAAGAGGTGATACTCTCTGCTGCATTTTTCCAAAACACCAAATCATCACACATGATGTCATCGCACATGATGTGCCTCTCTCTAATCAAACCCAACAAAGCTCTCACTAGCATGATTCTCCCCTCTCACAGGACTAGAGAAAGCTTTCAAGGACTTGCAGCGACAGACGACCTCCCTCGAGCGACTGCGACACCTCCTTGACCACGAGATTGACCGCTCCTACAAGAGTGTCAAGTCTGTCTTTGAGGAGCTGCGGAAAGGGTGAGTGTGTATGTGTGTGTGTGTGTGTGTGGGGGGGGGGGGGTGTAGGGAGGGGACCTGTGTCAGCATTATGCTACAGTTGATCATCATCATCTCTGCCTTTCTCGCCCTTCATCAGGGTATATTTACGCCACAAACAAACATTCTCCACCTTTCCCAATCCTGGGGAAGCCTCTTGATATTATTCCATTAGACCTGCATGTTTGCCGACAATCGTCTGAAATCCGACAATCGCGACCCGACCCGCGAACCGGCCGATGCTATCGCTAGGCCCGCCTAGTATCAGTCAATGTGCGTAGTGCGAGGCCTGGCCGACTGCCAGCGACCCCTTTTTCTCCCGTCGGCTTCGTCGGCACTTTCGTTTTCGTGCCGACCGTCGACGCGCGCACCGCCGACTGCCGACGTCGGCGTTTCCGACATAATTGTCGGAACCTAAGTAGAAATGTGAATACGAAAAAGGACGACAACTTAAATTATCTACTTTCAGTTTCGTGCTCGAGCGGCCATTTTCAATTTCGTTTGTTGACTAATTCAATTGTTCAGATCGTGTGGGTTCATTCAAGTCCGACTCTCTTGTTCTAATAGAATCTAGATCTAGATTTATATAGAGATCATTATAGACCTCAATGGAGGATTCATAATCCAATTCTATTGTGTCAAACCCTATCATAGGTTGTGCTGTAATATTAATATTGGTAAAAATAAGCATTTCATCAGGTGCGTGAATTATTTATTATTATTATTATATTTAGATCTATAGTCTAGATTCTAGAATCTAGACTCAGCTGAGTCCCTCTGTTCGGAATCGGATGCGGATTTCTAGTTCAAAGCCTAGAATCTATTCCTATTCACTTGTTCTTCAGGATCTAGATCTAGATTTTTCTATATTTAGATCTAGATCTAGATTTATTTTTTAGATTACTAGTCTAGTAGATCTAGATATCTAGATCTAGATCTATAGTCTATATGGAGGATTCATATTCCAATTCTATTGTGTTATTGTATCAAACCCTATAGCAATGTAGATGTAAGCCATATAGATAAAATTTAGATCTAGATCTAGATCTAGAATCTATATGCTCCTTGTTTGTTTTGGAGTGTGGTTTTTTAATTAATTTTTTTTTTTCATTTAGTACTTGTTTTGGCCTTTTTACATGCGAATCCCTTTAAGATGAGGCCCGATGCAGGTTCTTTTTGGGGTAGGGTTAAGGTTAGGTCTCTTCTTTATTGTGTTTGTTGGGGTGGTCGCTCGTTACTCGGATGTCCTTCCTTATGACACCCACTAAGGCTTTTTTTGGGGGGGGGGGTTGCGCAAAATTTTCAGACAATCTGGTTGAGGCTCACATGCAGGTCTATTCCATAGCTCACCATTTTTCTGTACAGTTGGTTGCTTTTAAGCACAAAGGGGCTATCCTGAAAAATACTGTTTTGAGAAAATCGAAGGTAAAATTTTTGGACCCTTATTCAGTTTCTTTAAAAGATGAGAAGAGTTTTCTCTACAACCAAACAAATATACACACCATTGAAACCAAACTTCTCTTATAGGTAGGGCAATTCCCACTTTTGGTGTAGGTCGAGATTTCTGGAAACCCCTGAAATCTGGGTTAGTCTGTTTGTCCTTAAAAGGGACCAAACATGATTTGATGCTCTCCTCTATTATTTGGGTAGGTGGTTGGAGGGCACCAGTTGCCTGTCTTATTTCTCTTCTTTCCTTCTATTGTTTCTTTCTGTCTTTCTTTTATGCATTTTACCTTTTTTCCAGTAAATAATCATTATTGTGTCAATGTGATTTTGTTTACTCAAACAATTATTTGGGATAGTAAAATTTTCTGGAAATAAATGCACTTATTTATGGTTGTGAGTGAAAAGTGAAATGGAAAATGAAATGATTTCAGCCGATTCCCTACAATGTTTTCATCGTTCATGCGTCTTGTTTGGCCTTTGCAGGTTGAGTGACCGTGAGTCGCAGCTAGTTGCAGAGATGGATCTGTTGAAGAAAGAGGCTTGTGAGTATCTATATTCTCATGTTGGAAGTTTCATGTTTTATCACATCGCTCTCTGTATAATTTCTCCCTGTACACGTTTGTACATATTGTGGTAAAGGTAAACAAGGTAAAGTACAATCAAATCTGCTCAAATGGCCATCTATCCAAGAAGATCGCCAGTACAAACGACTGCTTCACATTGCCCCGCTCTGGGGGGGGGAGGGTGGGGGGAGTTCCTGTATCATAATGACTGCTCAAGACATCCGCCTTTCTAAGACAACCATTTTTCTCTTAACAATGGGTGGCAGTTTTGTTCAATTTCAACCGTCACTTCACTTCCCACAACCCCCCTTGCCTTTTTTTCTATATCAATATGATTTTATGTCAAAGATATCCACCTGTCCAAGACAGTCGCTTTTGTCTTCAACAATGGGTGGCAGTGTTGAACAGTTTCAGCTGTATAACTTCCCCTTGTCTTCGTGCATCATGGTGATCACAGCTCACTGTTTTCTGCTCCGGAAAAACAGAATTGATTGCTTTTATTTTAAGCACAAGGGGGCTATCCCCAAAAATGGTGTTTTGAGAAAATCGAAGGTAAAGTTTTTGCCCCTTGTTCTGTTTCTTTAAAAAACTAGGAGAGTTTTCTCTATAACCAAACAAATATACACACCAATGAAACCAAACTTTTCCTATAGGTAGGAAAATGCCCATTTTTGGTGTAGGTCAAGATTTCTGGAAACCCCCGAAATCTGGGTTAGCCGCTTGTCCTTAAAAGTGAGCAATTGTGACCCCCCTATCAGTTCTTCAGGTTTTTTTTGTAGGTTTCTACTTTTCTAGTGGCTAGATTTGTCCCAGTTTTCACATATTAATGGAGAGCAGTCGAACAAAGAGTCCTGCCCCAGACTCTTGTATAGTCTTAGTAAGAGTTTTACAGCATTTGCAACACAATAAGATCGTAAAGTGCTGAAGATTTTAGTGTTACAAGATAGTAATAAACATCAAAAAAAAGAAGAATGGGTGCTCCTTCTTTCTTATCCTACATCTATCATCCTTGCCTGTCCTCCTTCTTTTTTGTGTATGTTACTCTCTTGTAACACATCTATTCTTCGGCACTTATATGACCTTATTTTGTTGCAAGTGCCGTAAAACTCTTACTAAAAGTAAAGAAAATGTTGCGCTTTGTGTTCCAGCGGACATGTTGGAGATGCGACAACACCGGGCCAGTGACCTCAAGCGTCAGTGTGAGAGGTCAGAGCAGCTCAAGGAGGCAGAGGTCAACGAACTACGGGCAGACATTAAGGTGAGATTAATGTGGGAGGTCGTGAACTATGGGAAGATGTGAAGTTCAGACTTGTGTGGGAGGTTGTGAACTATGGGAAGATGTGAAGTTCTGACTAGTGTGGGAGGTCGTGAACTATGGGAAGATGTGAAGTTCAGACTTGTGTGGGAGGTTGTGAACTATGGGAAGATGTGAAGTTCAGACTAGTGTGGGAGGTTGTGAACTATGGGAAGTTTAGACCAGTGTGGGAGGTCGTGAACTATGGGAAGATGTGAAGTTCAGACTTGTGTTGGAGGTCGTGAACTATGGGAAGATGTGAAGTTCAGACTTGTGTGGGAGGTTGTGAACTATGGGAAGATGTGAAGTTCAGACTATGTGTGGGATGTTGTGAACTATGGGAAGATGTGAAGTTCAGACTTGTGTGGGAGGTTCTGAACTATGGGAAGATGTGAAGTTTAGACTTGTGTGGGAGGTTGTGATATATGGGAAGATGTGAAGTTCAGACTATGTGTGGGATGTTGTGAACTATGGGAAGATGTGAAGTTCAGACTAGTTTTGTAGGTTGTGAACTATTGGAAGATGTGAAGTTCAGAATTGTGTTGTAGGTTGTGAACTATTGGAAGATGTGAAGTTCAGACTAGTGTTGTAGGTTGTGAACTATTGGAAGATGTGAAGTTCAGACTAGTGTGGAATGTCAAAGAACTATGGGAAGACATTAAGGTGAGACTAGTTTTGAAGGTCATTGAACTATGAGCAGACATTAAGGTGAGATAAATGTGGGAGGTCATGAACTATGGGAAGATGGCAAGTTCAGACTAGTGTGGGAGGTTGTGAACTATGGGAAGATGGGAAGTTCTGACTAGTGTGGGAGGTCAAAGAACTATGAGAAGACATTAAGGTGAGATCAGTGTGAGAGGTCATGAACTGCAGCAGACGTGAAGGTGAGACAAGTGCAGGAAGTCAAAGAACTGGGGGAAGATAAATTAATGTGAGCCTAGTATGGCTGTATTTATATCATCATATTGAATTTGTTTAACTGTATCTTGTTTTGATTGGGTTTTCAAGTTCAAATTTATTATATTTCTTGGTGGAGGGGGGGGGAGGGGGTTGCAGGGTTTCAAGCACTTGTGCCCTATATGGGTGGAGAACCTGTGGTCTTTTTATTCCCGTCTGTCATTTTGTGCTCTTGCATTTTTTTATTTATTTTTTTTTCAAAAAATTGCTGTGACATGTAACGGATATCATTTTACTTTTCAGCATTTTGTCATAGAGCGTCGCCATGACGAAGAACTAGGCCGCACCACAAGGTTCCTGTTTGATTCAGATCTCCTCCTTGGGGAAATACAAAAGTTTGGTGAAGGTAAGTCCATGCCGGCGGTATTTGTCGGTACATGTAGGAGGTATTAGTCGGTATATATGCTGATGATATTTGGTAGCTTTTAAGCACTAGGGGGCTATCCTGAAAAATTCTGTTTTCGGAAAATCGAAGGTAAATTTTTGCCCCTTGTTCAGTTTCTTTAAAATACAAGGAGAGTTTTCTCTATAACCAAACAATATACTCACCAATGAAACCAAACTTCTCCTATAGGTAGAGCAATGCCCACTTTTGGTGTAGGTCAAGATTTCTGGAAACCCCCGAAATCTGGATTAGCCCACTTGTCCTTGAAAGCGACCATTTGTTGGTATGTGCTGACAGTGTTTCTTACACAAGACTTGCAAGTTATAATGAGCAAAACATAGATAATTCTTGAAGTAATTTGGAGACCCTAGAGGCATTGTCACATCACAATGTTCAGTCTGCAAGCAGTTTTGTCTTTATTCAGGCACTTTTCTTCTTTTCTTCTTTTTTTTTTTTGTTGTTATCTCTCCCGCCTGCCTCCTTTCTGTGTGCATATCATAGATGAGATAAACCCTTTTGTGAGGGATTTTAGTTCAACAAATGAACAAGAATACCCTTAATTGTGACAAATAGAATGGTATGTCATGAGATAAATAAAAACAAGACTGTTGTCCATTTTGTTCAGTTCCAGTCTCCCATTTCTGTAAAGCCTGTACTTTCGGTGTTTTGTTAACTGCGGGTGGTTGGAGGGTGCCACTGGAAGGTCCTCTTTCTTTACTTTCCCTCTGTTATTTCTGTCTGTCTGTCTTACTTTTTCTCAGCGCTAAATGACCATTATTATGTTGGTGTGCTTCTCTTTATTCAAACAATGGGTGGTTGACGGGTGCTCTGGTGTGGTTTGCTTCTTCTTTCCTATCAAACATCTATCGTCTTTATCTCCCCTCCTTCTTTTTCGTGTTTGTTACTCTCTTGTAACACCGCTAATCCTCTGGCGCTCATATAACCTTATGCAGTTGCGAGCGCCGTAAAACCTCTGCTAAAACTAAAAAACTTCTGGCGCTCATATGACCTTATGCAGTTGCAAACGCCGTAAAACCTCTACTAAAACTAAACTTACTCAACAAACAAAAAAACGATCAAGGTGTTTTGTTCTATTTCAGTGGTTCACGTCAAGTCCTTGTATACAGCCCGGAGACCGTCAGCGTCGTCGGTGGCCAGCAGCGTCAGCCATGACGGTGAGTTGGGTTTTGCTCTGTAGTTATCACAGTGAACCCCTCCCCGGCGTTGTGCTACTGACTGAAGTGTCTTTAGGCCATTCCCAAAGGGGGGACATTACCATGTTCTGTTGCACAGTAGAGTTGTAAATGGGCTGATTCATCAATGTCATGCTCATAACTGTGCAGGAATTGCAACAGGGAACTGCTGCATTTTCTTTCCTAATCCTTACTATTGTCATTTTCCTCTACTCCTCTTGTATGTTTGTCACACTCTTGTGACCTGCTATTTCTGGGGTGCCTTGATAGTCGAAGCAGACCTTGTGCTGTTGAAGCTAGAGAGGTGAGCAGAGTAAGTCCGATTCCCTCTTAGGACTTCTCTGTTGACACCCACCCCTTGGCGCTCCTATGTCCTTATGCAGTTGCGAGCGACGTAAAACCTGTACTAAAACTGAAAGTTACCACAGTGATGTTGTGCTGTAGTTTAAGAACAAGAGTCTGCGGTGTAGCGATTAGGTGCCTTGCTGTCCCACGCAGGTGACCCATGTGTGATTCCTGAGTAAGGACAACATTTTTATAGAGTATCTCACGAGTTGGCTCTGACAGGCAGGGTTGGAAGTCCCTTATGTCCCCTCCTCCTTTTTTATGTTTGTTACTCTCTTGTAGCACCTCTAATCTTATGGCACTCACATGACCTTATGCAGTTGCGAGCACCATAAAACATCTACTAAAACTTTTTTAAAGGGTTGGAAGCCGCCTCCTGAATGATCTAAATTGTGTCGATAGCGAAAATGAAGAACACCTACATTTTATAAAGTGATTTTTAATGTTTCTAAAGCGGGTGGTTGGAGGGCCCCACAGGCAGGTCCTACTTCTGTACTTCTCCTCTATTGTTTATGTCTGTCAGTTTTTCTTTTCCCCACCACCAATAAACATTACTGTTTTGATGTACTTCTCATAATAGACAGAGAAAGATCTTGTCAGTATGTTAGTGTTTTAGCACCTATAAATGGCCACTTGCACTGTATGCTTCCCAGGAAGTTGAGGTTGTTTCAGAATGCTCTCAGGTCTGCTGGGATAATAGTATAGATTGTGAAGCGCATAGAGCTTGCTGTTGAGCGGGGATTTGTGCTATACAAATGCTATATATTATTATTATTAAAATGAACTAAATACAAAGAGCTTGGTGATTTTAGAAACATAGTCAGCTGTGATGAAGGTTATGAACATGAGTTCAGATACTCCCTATATAATGATAATGATGTCAGAAACGGATTATAGATAGACCTGTAATCAGGTTTCCTTTTGTCGTCTGTTCCTAGTAATTGATTTTTTTCCTATTTACGTACCATAGCCTGAAGATTGCTGATATGCATGTGTGGCAGGAAGGCGTGGAGTTTAATTAATTTCAAAAGCTCATAATTTTCTTTTGTTGAGTCTTGGCTGTCTAAGATCCTTTTTATTGGTTTTGTAGTAAGAGTTTTGAAAAGTTTTATGTTGTCTTTATCATGTAAGGCAAGATAATAAATGAAGAGCACAGGGGAAAAACGACGGTAGTCACAAACTGGAAATTGTGAGGGTGCCAATTTTAAGAGCTTGTAGACTCATTACTTCACATTTGTTTGTCTGGTGGTTTATTGTTAAGTGTTGTTGAATGGGAAATCTAACAACAATAATCAACCAACAGTTGAACAGAAATACAGTCATGAGCCAACAAGGGTTCAAAATCGATACCCACACGATTTTTAGTTTGTGACTACAGTCTTTTTTCCCCTGTAGTCTTCAAATACATTTCGAGAATGTTGTTGTCTGGAAGACTAAATTTAAATCACTGGGAAACTTCCTTTTTTATTGTTGTACTTTGATGCTGATGCTTTTCTTCTTTTACATCCTCTTTTTACTTGTTTTTCTTTTTCTGTACCTGCTGTGTGTCTTGAAGGTGGTTGGAGGGGACCACTTGTAGGTCTTCTTTCTTTTTCCTTCCTCTATAGTTTCTGTCTGTCCGGTTTGAATTTTTTTCCCCTGCACTAAATGACCGTTGGCCATTATTCTGTTGATGACTTTTCTTCACTCAATCATTCTAATCATATCCAACAGACCTGCCACTTATCCCGATTTAATCGGGATATCCCGATTTTTTGCCCCAAATCTCAAGCATCCCGATTTTCCCCATTTCGATCGCCAGTATCCTGATTTTTTGTCGTTGCGTCTGTTGCGTCCGATTCTAGGTAAAAAAAAATATAAAAAGTTCTGCAATGTCTTTTGCTTGGAAGCACCGATTGGATTTTTTATCGCCAGGCACTTGGAACGCTACTTTCTGAAGCATCTATGCCGAATCTAGCAGATGACTCACGCACGTTATTTCGACTAAAACTGACGTAATATCGATTTTGAATTCCGACATGGATACGCTCAAGATCTACTTTCGCTTTTATAAACCAGAATTCTCCGATGGTGTCCTGATTACTGTAACAATTATGTCATGGGCCTAAGAATAATCTATTCGTTGTTCTGCCGTTGCTTTAAAAGCAAGCTTCGTTCTGGTTAGTCGGGCCCATCCGACCTGTCAGTGGAACTTTCAAACGCTCATTTGCAACACGTGATATGGCCTCGTACGTGTGAGTAGTGGGTGTGTCGGGGACCGTGGGCTGTCAGGGTCAACAAAGTTCATTCACACCGGTCGCATTGGTCGAGGTGTTTTTCGGGACTTAACCAGTGTGGAGGGAGGGGGGGTATTTTTTTTTTTACACTTGGGCTTAAAGTGCGTGCCGTGATACATGTAGAATCTAATTGAGGATGAAGGAATAAGAAAAAAGAAATAAATGAACAACCTTGGCACGATCTTTTTTTTCGGGGGGAGGGGGGGGGGTGCCTGGAGTGTGTATGCGATGGAAGTCAAACGTTGTTACTGTATGAAAACGTGGGCTTTTAGAGGGATGATTAGAGTTATATGTCAGCTATTTTCAAGACGACGAAAGTTTCAGTTTTACTGCAACCTGCGCTCCCCCAATCTATCGAACTCCCGACTCAAGTAATGCTGTCTTTCAGTTTTCCCTCTATTTAGAGGCCCAAACGTGAACTTCTTCCTGCAAAAGTTTTCTCTTGCATACTTGCCTCATAAAAGGGAACCAGGAACCCCCCCCCCCTTCCCCAGTATCCCTTATGACTGATTTGCCGGTGATCCCGATTTTTTTCACCAGATCCTGATTTTTTTACTCTAGAATCCTGATTTTTAGATTTCAAAGAGTGGCAGTTCTGTATCTAAGCTCTGCGTCTCCCATTGAGTCAATGTTAGCTTTTCACAACCCCTAGGCTCTCAATCCCTCGACATCTCCAACCAATAATAATAACAAACACATCTACTCCTCCTCCCCCACCCGGATTTATTTATTTTTGGGAAAGTGGGTGGTTGGCGGGTGCTTTGGTGTGGTTTGCTTCTTCTTTCCTATCAAACATCTATCGTCTGTATCTCCCCTCCTTCTTTTTTGTATTTGTTACTCTCTTGTAACACCTCTACTCTTCTGGCGCTCATATGACCTTATGCAGTTGCGAGCACCGTAAAACCTCTACTAAAACTTTTTTAAAGCTCTGTGCGTCTCCCATTGAGTTATCATTTCACAACCCTTAGTTCACCTTCCCTCAACATCCCCGACCAATAATAATAATAACAAACACACCTCCTCCCCCACCCCCACCCGGTTTTCTTTTTGTGAGCAGAAAACCACGAGGATGACCTGTCTCAGTCGTGGGAAGTGACCGAGCTACAAGACAGACTGCGCACATCCCTCAAGCTGCAGGTAACTGGGAACTTGTGTGTTGGTTACTCGAAAAAATCCTCGATTAACCCTATCCGTACATCGTGTTTTACTATCCTATCCATACAACTTGGGGAACTCTGTGCCACCACTTAACCCTATCCGTACGTCGTGTTTTACTATCGTATCCATACAACGTGGGGAACTCTGTGTCATCACTTTCCCAAGAGGAAATTTACTCGTTGATCCGATCCCTACGCTTTGCATAGCAGTCTGTCAAAAGGATTTTTTTTAGAAATACTGAAAGTTTCAAGGAGATCTTCGTACATGAAGTATTCTAAAATGTGGAGAATACAACCCAGGGGGTACAAAAATGACCCCAGGGCGTACGGATAGGGTCAATAGAGGGGGTAATGGTGTTGTGGGTGGTTGATGGGTGCTCGAGTTTGTTATTCCTTCATCTGTATCTGTCTTGTGATATTTTTTTGTGTGCGAGGAAGAAAAATTTGTGTTGATAAAGCAAACAATTTGTGAGTATTTATTGGAAATATGTGTGTGTGCCTATAGCAGATTTTGACCATTTTGAGTTTAGGGTTGTACCTTATAAGAAATTTAATGCTGAACACAGGAGGGGTCTTTGTATTTTTTAGATATCTCAAGTAGCTGAGATTTTGCAAGGTAGGGTATAAAGACAGAATTTTGAGAAAATGAGCTTGTAAAAATGTGAAAGCAGATACAAACTTTAAAAAAAAGATTTTTTTAATGTATTTATTCATGGAAAATTCATGTCCGATTTGGCATTCAGTTGACATCAATATCATGAATGGAATTCAATGGTAAAACATAGCAGGGAAGAGAAAACGTGCTTCAACAATAGATTTTAACACCTTTTAAAAGCAGTTTCTATTATTCGTTTTCATTATACCCTAACCTTAAAATAATTCAAAATAAAATGTGTAGAAGTCAAATCAATGAAAACCTTTTGAGCACGTTGGGAAAAAAATGGTGGATCTATCATTTTTTTATGGAAACACATTTTGGTCAAAAAATTGATTTTTGTCATCATCAGCCTGTAGCTCGGAACAATCTGGGGCGACTTTTGGTACCTTTCTCTAGGCGCACACACATATTTCTGTTGAAAGTTCATTTTCTTGATGATTTCTGAGCAGACCAAAAGTTTCCGTTTTAAATCATGAGTTTTATTTTCGTCAGAGTTCAACATCAGATCGCTCACCCCCCTCTCGGAATGGACCTTCAGATGGAGGTTAGTGGATGTTGGTTTGTTGTTTGAGCTGAAAAAAGTCCATAACTCTGAAACTTGGCTGTGGGGGATTGGCGGGTGCTCTGGTGTGGTTTGCTTCTTCTTTCCTATGAAACATCTATCTTCCTTATCTCCCCTTCTTCTTTTTTGTGTTTGTTACTCTCTTGTAACACCTCTTATCTTGGACACTTATATGATCTTATTGTGTTGCAAGTGCCGTAAAACTCTTACTAAAACTAAACTTGGTTCCTTCTTATTGCTGTCTTTCAGCCACACCCCTGATCTGAGGGTAAGTAAGATTGAACACCTAGCCTTCTCAAATTAGGGCAAAAAATTCCCGGAGGTCCCGTGTGCAAGTTGTGCACGTTAAAAATCCGTTGGTTCTCCTAAAATCAATAAGAGCAGGCTTCGGCCGGGACCAGGGCAAAATTAAAAATTAATTCTACCAAACTGGAAATGCTTTATGCAGTTGTGAGCGCCGTAAAACACTTGCTGAAAGAACAAAAGAACTCTGAAACTTGTACTACTCCAAAAGCAGAATTCACTTAATTGTATAAATACATAAAGGAATCCGTCTCCTTGTAAGTGGTGGCGTCAGTGGCCCAGTGGTTAGGCTACCGGACTTGTAATCATGAGGTTGAAGGTCCGGGGGTTCGAGCCGCGGGCCCGACGTTGTGTCCTTGAGAAATGCACTTTACACGAATTTTCCCCACTTCACCCAGGTGAAAATGGGTACCCAGCTATAGACAGTGAAAAATCTTGTCAGTTTGTTAGTGTTTTAGCGCTTATACAGCTGCTTGCACTGTATGCTTCCCAGGAAGCTGAGAATGTTTCTGAGTGTTCTATGGTCTGCTGGGGTAATAATGTAGTGTAAAGCGCTTAGAGCTTGCCTTCGAGCGGGGACATGCGCTGTACAAATTATGCTATTTATTGTTATTATTGGTGATGCCCAGAAGCTGCGACTGCCCTGGTTTCTGGTGGAGACAAGAGGTGGTCTCCCTGTGCTTTTCTTGTGGTGAATAACTACCTGGGTGGGCGAGGGACCGGGGCCTCTGTGGTAGAATGGTTAGGTTCTTTCTACATTTAGGCGCGAGTTTGATTCTCAGGCGGGGAAGTTTTAACTCTTTTTATCCGCGCTACGAGTAAACTCAGAACAGCCATACGATAACGTCAAAACAGCTAGTTCTGCTTGTAATTACCAAAATACGCAAATACGGCGAAGCTAGCTCAGTCTGAACATTTAAATTTTCTAATGAACAGCGGTTTCTTTGTGTTTGGTGGGTGTAGAAGCTTGAAAGATGTCTCGAAAACACATGTTCCCGACCGATGAAGTACTTCTTGAAGTGGCGCTGGGTTGTAAGGGGGAATGAGACTAACTTGATAAAAGTGATTCTGAATCAAGTGCGGTAAATTCCATTGTGGATGATAATGAACAGGAATTAGACTCATCTAAGAGCGATTCAGATCAGTGCGAAGGGGTCAGTATTGATGTTCATGCTGTACTGATGGGTAGGATTAGATCTTTAAATCCAAGGAGACGTCAGGAGCGCGGCAATCAGGGTCAAGTTGGAGGGTGGAATATAGGTAAAACCTCTAATCTTCTGCACTTATATGACCTTATTGTGTTGCAATTGACATAAGACACTAAGACTTACTAAAACTAAAAAACTAAAGGATGAAGGGGTTGTTAATTTTGTTGGCCATTTCCGGCTTTGTTCCCAGATTTCATTCCCAGTCGCTCGTATCGTAACCGCCAGCCCAATGGGGGCATCCCAGCCAAACAGTCAGACCCGGCCCGGGGCCCCAGACAGAGTGGAAAACCTGGGCCAGGATCACCAGGTAAGTTTTCTGTGTAACAGTAAAGTATACGGTGTTCCTGCGGCCTCCTTGAATTCAAGGAGTCCTTGAAAACTCCTTGAATTTGAGGAACCTCCTTGAAAACTCCTTGAATTTGAGGAACCTCCTTGAAAACTCTTTGAATTTGAGGAACCTCCTTGAAAACTCCTTGAAGTTGGCCGGATCGAACATGAACAAAGTTTTTGTTGGAAAAGCAAAACTATGATTCCTTTTTGACAAGTGTGAGCGTATAGGAAATAGACTTCGGCATGAATTTCTTGACCAAGTCTCCTTGAATTTTACAAATTTGTCCTTGAAATCTCCTTGAATTTGGTGGGGTGTTCATGGCAGGAACCCTGAGTATAGCCCCCTCTGCCATCACCAACTCTCTCTCTCTCAAACTGTTTGACCTAGTCTGGTTCATCCAGTGTCTCCACAGGGGTCACAGTAGGGTCTCAGTCATGAATGAGAAACGGCAGGCTTTGATTATCGGGAGCAAGAAGACATGGGGCTTACGGTTATGCATTAATTTTACTGTTTTCATTCTTGCTAAAAACAGCAGAGGTTTTAACTGATATAATGTGTGTGTGTGTGTGCGTAAATATATATCGCTTGAGAAGAAAGGAAGTTTTAAGAAAGGTTTTGAAAATGGGTATTCCAATGTAAAGGGCATTGAGCTACTTTTTTTTGGGAAGTGCGCTATATAAATGTTATATATTATTATTATTATTTTTATTATTATTATTATTAATGATGCCATGTTTTTCATGTGTCTTTCTGCTCCCCAGTCCGACCTGTCTCTTCGTCTGCCAGCTCATCGACCCGCAGCGACCGGCCGTCCAGCGGCGCCACTGGGAGCCCAGGCAGGGGAGGTCGGGGTCGAGGTCGGGGGCGGGGAGGTCGCGGCGGAGGTCAAGGTCGGGGCAGGGGACAGGGTGGAGAGCGGCCGCCCTCTTCCGCGAGTAGTCAGCGTCCGTCGTCGGGCAGCGGGAGCCAGCCGCGGAGCAGCCAGCAAGCCAGAGTTGTGGTGTCGGCCATCAGTGACTGACCGTCCATGGAGCTCACCGCCGCTGCCCCCTGGCATGGTCAGACGAATTGTTGGGAGGAACAAAATAATGATGATGATGATGATGTCAACATAATAGTGTTGACAGCGTGTGATGACAATGACAATGCAAATATTTGTGGGAGAGCAGTTCTTGCTGAGATTTTTGCCATGCGTGAGTGAGATCATCTGTTAGAATGTGTTGCTGGAGAACTTTTCCTGTGTCTTGATGATAAATCGATACTTTCTCTCCTCCAACACTACTTCAGCAGATGCAGTGGGGGGGGGGAAATTTTGGACATGCTGATTTTGACCAGTAGACATTTTGTCTGGTTGTGAGACTTCTTTGTGTCTCCCACTGTCCTTTGAGAGAGAGAGAATGTACGATGCCAGACACACGTTGTAATCTGATGGCAGTCGTATGGGGGCGTAGTGATCATGTTGTTTCCCAACATTTTGCCTCCTTCATGTCAGACAGAAAGAACCTTTCCATGACTCTCTGCTAGCCAGCAAGCATCAATTATTTGCTCTTATAAGAATGAAAAGAAATGTTTGCATTGTGTGATAACAGCTGTTGGGGTAGTTTTGCTGTCCCCGTCGTTTTATGCTAGAAAAATTCTGAAATTACGCGAACTGAACCCAAAAATGGGGAATTATGCGATTATGTTAATTTTAACCAAAAAATGATCAAAGAAAATAATCAGAAATTATGCAAAAAATTATCAAATTTTGCTGAATTATGCGGGGGTGCATAAAACCACGGGGACAGGTTTTGGTACGGTTCCTGTGTTTTTATCTTTGACAACGACGACCTTACCCTTATCATAAGGAGTGGAAGATTCGAACTGATTGTTGTTCCTCTGTTGCATCTCTCACACTTTTTCATGACTTTTCAAGTATTATCCGATTTCCTCATGGGACAGAATTGATTCCTCATGGACATGAACTCTTCAACTCTCTTTGTTATAATTCTAATTCTATTTTGTGTAGAGGTGGTTGGTTTACGCTCACATAGGTATATATCGTGTGGGGTTGTTTTTTTGTTGTTTTTTTCTTTGTTTTTTTGTTGTTGTTTTTTCTAGCTGGGTTTTTTTATCGTGCAATCATACGTGTGTTTTGTGAAAATTGTTTAGCTTTGTAAAGAAATTACACGGCACATGAGTTGTGTAATGGCCATCTTCTAGCTACAGATGTAGGGGCTGATGGAGGATTGTGAAGAAAACAATGGCAATTTTATGTGTGGTATACATCATGTATAGAGATGCATTGTTCTTTTGTTAGTGATTTCTTTTGTTTTGTTTCACGCCCTTGCTGTTTCTCTGTGTCATGTTTTTGTTTTAGTAAGTGTCAGTCTTGCTTTTTTTCCGCTGCACAAAATGACTGTTATTATGTTCTCTTTTGTGACTGATTTCATCTGTTTTGTCGCTCCCTCTGTTGTTTTTTTAAATATATATCGGCCGTGCTTTTTTCTTTGCATTAAGTGACCATTATTGAGTCTCTGCCCTTGTTCTTGGCTCCAAAAGACCATTTGTTGGTGAGGAAATGGGTCGAGTCATCTTCGTTATGATATCACTTGTCCTTGGTCGGAATTTGTTCTTTTTCAAGAGAGAGAGAGAGGGAACTAGTGGGAATTTCCTTGAGATTCCGACAGTGTTTGCCCAGAGACACGTCCCTACAGAGAGACACGTCCCTACAGAGAGACACGTCCCTACAGAGAGACACTTCCCTACAGAGAGACACTTCCCTACAGAGAGACACGTCCCTACAGAGAGACACGTCCCTACAGAGAGACACTTCCCTACAGAGAGACACTTCCCTACAGAGAGACACTTCCCAACAGAGAGACACTCCCCTACAGAGAGACACGTCCCTACAGAGAGACACGTCCCTACAGAGAGACACTTCCCTACAGAGAGACACTTCCCTACAGACAAGGTGTATGAGTTTGTTAGAAGAGCGTACTCCAGGATTCTCACACAGATTCATGGCCATAGTAAGCTGTTGCTTGTTTGTAGGAAATTATTATATGTGAGGCAGTGTTGTGAAATCAGGCGCTCGTCAAAATAATGAAAGAGAAGAAACTGGCATTTCCCGCAAGTTTGGGAATGTCTATCAAATGTCTGTATTTTGGTTCTACACCTTTCATGCCCATTAAAGAACACATTTCTGTGTGGATTTTTACTGAAAGACATTGATTAAAGATATTAAAGATGTAATTTTTAAGTTTCCACGCTCTCTCAAGCCAATATTTCGACTTGAATCCAAGATAAATGGATATTTTTTCATCAAAAGCAAGGCAAATGGACAGGCTTACAGATGATACTATAACTCCTCATGCCCAAAAATTGACGAGCGCCTGATTCCACCACGAGGTGTCACATATTGTTTTGTTGGTGAGACGACTTATTGCTTTACGCTAAAAGTTTGAGCTGTGGCGGTGGTTTTCCTGTGTGTTCTTCTGCCGTCATTTGTGTGTCTGCTTGTCTTATGTTTGACCTAGAGGTGAATATCCTTCTTGTTCTTATCATGAACGTATTGCTAAACTTCATTTACCCATGGCAGTGCATGTACTATCTATGGTAGTGTATTTGTGGATATATAGATATTTCCTGCATTTGGATGGTAAAATTGAAAGTCACTCTGAATTGAAAGCCAATAGTTTAATTTGCCAGTTCATTGTGGCCTGATTTGCGGGATAAAACTTTTTGATTTTCTATTATAAAACTATAGTTGGGACCATGAATGCTTGCAAGACGTTTTCCTTTCCCTTGTCCAGCATTGTTTGTAAGGGATTTTGGTCCAGTAGTTAGCTATATTATTGTGCATCAACCTGATCAGGAATCTTCGCATTCCCCCCCCCCCCGCCACCCACCCACCCAGCCCTCCCTCAGCCTGTGTCCAGTGCTAAGATTAACATCATTCTTTTTCCTCCTTTCTTTGTGGTGTAGGCCTATTTGTTTGTTTGGTTGGTTGGTTGGTTGTTGATGCTGTCTGTACCTCTTGCTAGGCTGATGTATGTGAGTTGACCTAGATGGATGGAGAGAGGGTGAAAGATGTGAAGGTGGCCAGTACACTGAGCGCCGACGATGTTTTTTTGTACATACAGATCTAGATATCGGATATTTATATATACGTCTATACACACATAAATATATGATATACTTATACTTGAAAATATATTTTTGGTTATGATGTATTTCTGGCTACACATTTTACCTGACCATATACGTATATATATATAAAATATAAATGATATTCCAACTGGCCTCCCCCTATTCTCTCGCCCAGGTCCTCCATTCTGTCTTGAAGTCCCGCCCCTCTCTTGTTCCCGTGACGGGGATCGTTCTTTGTGTCCTCGCTGTCAAACTTTCCCATTTATTTTCTTCATTTTTGTCTTGGTCTCTTCGCAATTGTTATCATTATCGTCGTAATAGTCTGCAGTCGGTCTCCATAATAATAATAATAATAATAATATAGGTCAAAGCTCTTTATTTAGTGGCTCTCGGACACTTCTGTCTTCATATCGAGAAGGTAGATTTTAGTTTTTTGAAAAGTCGAATGTGTTTCAAAAGCTTTTTGTTACCATTGACCGTTATTACAAGACTGAAGGGCCGAGATGGTTCATACGTTAAAGTAAAAGTGTTTTTGCCAGTATTTTTTCATAGACATTTTTTCGAAGATTGAAGTGGTCTGTTCCTAGTGTTCCTTCCACTTCGTTTTCAGTCATGAGGTTGTTTTTGTCCTGTGTTGTGGTTTGGTGATGATAATGCAAGAAATGGTTTTAATTATTTGTTTGACTTCAGTAACTGGTTGTAGGACTTCAATTCAATAAATGTTGTGGAAATTCAATAAGTAATAATAATAATAACGTAGCTCGTTTCTATAGCGCCCACTCACGTGTGAACACAGCTCTAGGCACTTTACGTAAATGCATGTATGAACAATATTCACGCATGCATGCGTGCACACACACACACACACACACACACACACACACACACACACACACACACACACACACGTGCACACACATGCATGCCAAACATGCACACACGTACACACACACACACGCACATCTACTCGCTTATCACACGCGCACGCTTACACATCGTTTCGAAATGAGCATATATAAATACATGATAAAATAATGTACTCAATGCAATTTGCAAAATACAAAAATGGATACATAGTCATTTACATGACATTGTACTGAACATGAGTCTGCTGACTTAAAAATGTTGTCATTTAATGTGTCTTTATTTAAAGATATTTTAAATTTTTTTAGACTCAGATGTTGTATGTCTCAAGGGTTGGGGAAATGGTTGCAGGACTTCCATCAGAGGTTGTAGGATTTCAGAAAGTGTTGTAGGACTTCAATAAATGGTTGTAGGATTTTAGTAAGTATTGTAGGACTTCAATAAATGGTTGTAGGATTTCCAACTGTGGTTGTGGGACTTCAAAACTTTCACTTTCCTTTTCTCCCGAGAGTCGAGAGGGGTCAGGTGGGGGTGAAGAGAGAGGAGAGGTGTGCTATGTGAACCAGGGGTGTCAAACTCAATGGCTCAGCGGGCCAAACATAGATTACTCTTCAGGTTGCAGGTCGAACTTGATAAGCTCGTTAAGCAGAACACAAACAGACAAAAGTTTCAATAATAACAAATGAAAACATAATCTTCGGCACTTATATGATCTTATTGTGTTGCAAGTGTCGTAAAACTATTACTAAAACTTTTTTAATTGGCAAACGCCTGATTCCACTACGTGATTGTTCACCGGGCCAGATGCGGCCCGCGGGCCTTGAGTTTGCCACCTGTGGTGTAAACTGTTGACCATTGACTATCTGCTCAAACAGTACTGAATGTTCTAGTCCGTGGGTGGTTGGCGGGTGCTCTGGTGTGGTTTGCTCCTTCTTTCGTATCAAACATCTAATCTATCGTCTTTATCTCCCCTCCTTCTTTTTTGTATTTGTTACTCTCTTGTAACACCTCTAATCTTCGGCACTTTTATGACCTTATTGTGTTGCAAGTGCCGTAAAACATTTATTAGAACGTGCTTGTCTGAAACGGTGAATCATTCTAGATACAGGAGTATTTGTTTGTGTGTGTGTGTGTGTGTGTGTGTGTGAGAGAGAGAGAGAGAGAGCAGTCAGTGGTAGCCTGCTGTGCCTTGGGATTTTTTTCCTCTACCACAATATCATGTCAAAATCTTAGAAGTGGGTACGTCTCTCTCTTCTCTTGGTGGGTGGTTGGCAGGTGCTCTGGTGTGGTTTGCTCCTTCTTTCTT